GAGATCATTAATCATGGAGCCTCCTCGAATCTTCAGCAGTTCCTTTCCGATATCAAGGCCATTCATCACTAGGGTTTTCTCTAAAAAGTCATGTTCGTGAATCTCGGAACTGATTTATTCAAATAACTCGAAATGGACCACTAGCAACTTTTGACAAACTGCTTCATTATGCGAAGCGTGTTAATGTCGCCGTAAGACGTCGCATGGAGGAGCTGTGAACCGGCTGACAGAAGTGACAAAGTGACCAGCGCGCATACCGTAACCCTTCACTTTTTGAAGCAGGACTTAGGATCTCAGATGGCTACGGTATTGATTTATACATCGCTCATGTTTGCGATAACACTAAATAGAAATAAAGGGAAAGATCGGAAAAGCAGCGCGGCAATTTACCGTTGAAAGGATAGTTGATCTCTAAAAAAGCCAACATGGCGGACTCATTTGCTATAGTTCGACCTCCGAATGAAAGATAAGCAGCAGATATTGCGAAAGTTTTTCGTTTCGGTTTTGATTTTTGTTTGACTGCAAGAGCTCGGAAACCATTTAGCCATTGGCTGTGAAATCCAATAATCTCCTTACGTAAGTGATCTACATATGCTAACAGAGAGAGGGTGAGCTCTTTTCGCCGCTTGAAAGTGCTCACGAGCGGCTGGTAGCCTGTCACCCCCCCCCCCCTTGGACCGAGAAACCCATGTGTATGGCTCATCTGCATGTGACAACTGCTATGTTCGTTTTTGTAGTCTTCCGCCGGCGGCACCTTCTGCACTTTTCGCTTATTGGTGCGATTCTTGCGAATAGAAGAGTCTGACTTAGGGCATTCTCGGCGATTTGTTAAAATTTTTGGCATACCTGGGTTACATTTTGACACTTGTATTTGAACCCCATTACACACCATTTTACAGCTAGATGTGCCCTCAAGATTGTAAATTCGATCAGCACAGAGATCATTTTGTGCAAATTTTCCAGTTCAAGGTTAACCCCCCCACCCCTTTTGGAACGACCACTCGAGAGTATAGCCGAATTTTTGGTTTCTTGGGGATTTGCTTTTATACAAACTTCTTCGAATTTAGCACAGATTTTTCCTGAAACCTCTCAAGAGCGCCTTATTCGGATTCTTTGTCACTTATTGGCTCTCATGGAATTTACTGAGCTCACCGAATACACCATTTTGATATTCGTGGATTTTGTCATGGACAACAGTCATTTGCTTGAAAAGCTCATCGCTGAACCACGGGTTTACCTGCCGCAACATGTCGTTCGCATGGATCTGCTGAAATTTTTCGATTAATCGTCGTCTGACTGCACCATGACCTTTCATTAACAAGAGATTGAAGCGAGTAGATCTCTAACAATATGTTAATGGATTAGATCCTCTGAAACCGAAAATTATTCTATTACGTATTTGCTGTTATCGTGTTCATGCTTCTCTCGATATCGTTCTGCTTCCTAATTTTCAAACTGGAGAGTGTTTGAATATGCTACATACAGAAGTATCGTCAGGGCGGTGTTAAGAGGCAGGAGAGTAGGCCTACCCGCGGCATTTTCACCACTGCTTGTTTTGTTCCCAAAACGATCAGTTTCCGACCACGAATGGTTGGGCAGGCAGTCAGAGGCGGGCCCATTTCCTTCCTCCTGACACCGTCCTCAGACTGCGTTCATGCTCTGCGGTGGCGTCCACCAGCGACCAGAAGTACGGTATTGTGTGGCAGTATGGTGCGGTTGCACACGCCACAATTTCACGACGCCTAATCCAGCTGTCTCCTCCCTCCTACTTCCCCATACTCTACCAGCAGTCTGCTACCCTCCTACTTCCCATACTCTCTACTCCTGGTCGCTGGTAGACGCTGATAGACGCTGCCGTTCGCTAGATCGATAACTATACTTTCCTAGTCGCTGGCGCTGATGGACGCTCGAAACGCTGACGGCCGCTGATGGACGCTGTCACAAAGTATGAACGCATCCTCTCTGATAGCGACGACACCAACTATACGTTTTTCCGACCCTTGGTTTCCCTTGTTTCGTTGTGTCCACCGCTTTGTCTGTGGTAAGCGCCGACCTTGCGCATATCCACATAGTCTCCGCCCTCTGGAACGAAGTCTGCTCGAAATCGTTAGCCTTTTACAGCATCATTTCATGCTGATCCTTTCAATATGTTATTCATGACGCGTAGACAAGGTTTTCGGCTCTTCGGCTGAGAGAGTTTCACTTTTCCAAATTCGACGCGGAATTCTTCGAATGAGTCCAGAGTTTTACGAACACAACTCGCCTCAATCAGCAGAGCATCTCGTATTATCCAGAAATTGTCGAAATCCACTGTTTGACCGCAGTAGACAGTCAAATTTGCAAGCAGAGAAGCGACCTGAAATGAGGTACCAACGTTTTGTGACAAGATTTCTGTAATTCTCAGATCCGAAATGAAATTGTAGAGCCCACTTCGGTCCGATTCCTGTATTCCTGCAGTTCTTCTGAGCTCTGGGCCATACTCCACAGACGATCTTGGCGGTCACAATCAGCGTCAGGATTTGCAACCTGGACAACCAAGCCTGAAAAAAGGCGAAGGGGCCCTCATCACATGAAAAGCCGGTTAAACTCACATAGTCAGTGTGGCCGTCGACCGTATGGATGGCTACTGGGAACAAATCCCGCGGGCCATCCCGCTTCAGAAGGATAGTCAACATCGGAAACAGCGCTATAACTTTTCGGGCCGTACATACCAATAATATTTGACAAAGCCGATATTATTGTCCGATTTCTGTCTGTCGAACGGACATAGATCTGAAAGATATCAACCGTGGAGATACAAGGCATGCTTATCACTAAATTCATGAAGTGGTGAGACATTAGGTTAGAGAGCTGTACTTTCACCTCCAGGGATCTTGTTCCGTGCCGTGTGTGCGCGGAATGGGGCCGAAACTGTACTCCTTTATTCTTCATCAGAAAGCCGGAAAGGAGGCTTGAGGATACGATACCCCGGTGCTGACTCGCACTCCGCTGCTGTTGCGCGCAAGGCACATAGGAGGGTCGTATATTTCGGCTGGGGTGGGGATCGCATTTGATCGCTGTTGGGAGAAGGTGATCGTATGTGGCTCTGAGAGAAATTTGCCGCTTGGGAAAAAAATTTTCCCTGTTGATAGATTTTTGCGGTGATTTCTCCGTTGAAGTTACTGAAAATCTCTGAGTGGAAAAACAAAGAATGTGGGGAAAATGGTAGGTAGGTGCTGTGGAAGGGGGGGGGTGAGGATCGTACCGAAATCCTCCCCCAGGTGAAGGGGGGAGGGGTGTCGTGATGGCACTACTATTTCACGCATCACGATTCTGTACCCTGGTCGTCACATGGCCAGCCAGGCATCGAGCCATAGCCAAACATCCTACTTTTCTCGCCCTCTCATTTGGCTTTTTCTACTAGCGAGTCAGTGTTCCGTTGCGGGACCTTGGCACCGATGCAAATGCTGCACCTTCAGGATAGCGCTTTTCGTAGCATGGAAACGGCAGTCCAGTAGGTACAAGTACAGTACGACCCCGGTCCCGAGCAGATTCGAGCGCAGAAAGTGCAACGCTGCTACAACTGCGGATTCATTCGCTTCGCACATTGTAAGGACAGTCCTTCCAGCTGAGTAGACCGTTTACCTCAATGGTTCGAGACTAGAAGTGCGAGGTAAGATGTGGAAATCTATGTACCTGCGCGCGCCTTGAGAGGCTGCGGCTTTGAAACTAGTGGAAGAAGAAGCTTTTATCGCAGCCGTTCTTCACACAAATCAAGTGCTACATCTGATTGTGAGGCGAATTGTCGATTACAGGGCAAAATTTCTACGCATAGTCCTTTTCTAGCATTGCAGTGTCACCTTGCAAAAAAAATCGGCTGGCTAAACCCTCAAAAATTACAGCTAGCTTCTCCTCAGGCAGTCGTATAGCCAGACCTTGATCCCTACGGCTACTGGTTCTTGGACACTGCTTCTCTCTGCTGGCTGTTTTTCGACCTTATGCATCACATGGACGAGTAAAACTTCACGACCCCAGCCGTAATGAAGAAGAGCTGGCGCTCTGCTTAACTCGAAATCCCTGAGATCGGGTAGGCGTGGCTGCATTCTTCAACTTAACCTGAAGGTGTCTATGCTTCTGGTATTTTCATCTTGACACAATTGTTGTCGTGTCTCTGTCCAACAGAGAACAAGATGACAGTTGTCCCAGACTGGAATATTCCACGAGTAACCAGTTCCGTGCCATGTTCAAATGCCACGCCTACTCTGGCTCAGGGATAAGGAGTGTACATACGTTATGCTGGCTGCATTTTGCAGGTATGGTTTACATACGTTGTTGCCTGATCACTAGCAATAAGCCCACAATAACAGTGGTAGACACATTTTGATTTTGAATATTTCTGCTCCATGAAAGGATGAAGCCTGATCCGTTGATCGAACCCTTTCGGATGCGGCACGCATATACTTCCATTCAGGATCGCAGTGGCGATGCGATGTGGCCTATAAAATGAATTGGGGGAGAAATCCATGTACAAGTCAGCGGTTCATCCCCCAGACCAGCCTGGTACCAATTTACCGTTCCTGGAGGGTAGAGGCTTGGTCGGCCTGGACGGGAGCCGACCCGCGACTTGGACGGGCGGCGCAAGTGGTAAGCGCAGCTCGTCACCACACCACCTCCGCCTCTTTCATTTCCGCTCAATAATATGGCTCACTCACAGAAGAGTGGCAGGAGTTTCTCACTGAGCTATACAACGGGCAATGGTGCTCTTGAAAACAGTCAAATGAAAGAGAAGTAAAAAAAAACTCAAATAGAAGTAAGTCATGGCAAACCTCTTTTGATGAGTATCTAGGGCTGAGAAATTTCATATCGTCAATGTATCTCTTCCGAATGTACATTCCCCAATTCCATTTGCTGCTTCATTCCGATCTGACACATGTAAGTATTCCATACATACAATAGAGATCTGGTTCTGGACAGAAGAGAAACTCTAGCATATTTTTTTTGCTCACAGTACCGCCTCCCATTGCACCTTCGGTTGATCCTTTAGTAAGTTTCTGACAACTGCAAGGTTATGCTACATATTTACAATTTTAGGATATGATAGTCACTATCCAAGAGTTCCAAGAGCAGAAACCTATCCTATCCAAGAACATTTCTAGTTGTTGGTAGAACAAATTAATGCCATGGGAACTCTAACCAGATGTGGCAACAGGCAATGCAGAACACAACACCAGCAAGAAGCTCAAAGGAAAACCATCTCAACTACGTTAAGTGAAACTCTACGGAATATTGAAGACTATTGAATGGACAATCCTCCTGCATCCGTCTAGCATTGGTCTGCTTCATCCGACTACCACCCATTATGCCTAGGTAACCTTTATGAGAAGAAATACGATCACTTGGAAGATCGCGGTACTAAAACCCAACCTTCTCCGATCAAAAGCCACTAGAGCTTTGTGAGAATTGCACAAAATTGTGCTGAGAAACTAGTCAGAAGAAAGCATAACATATAAAATCAGTCAGCTATCCGGAAAATATGGGCCACCCT